GCGAGTGGGAAAGAACAGGAGTTGGAAGACGCGCCAGCAGCACTTTATAGGTCTGCTGTATGGGACCACTTTGCATTTAGAGTGACCGCGGAAAGAAAGTTGTGGATAAAAGTGCAACAGTGTGCCAGCATTGTGCAACACGTTTTGTTTATGCTAACAGCAACATGACCAACATGTCAGAAATCCCACATACTCCGTGGGAGTATGTGGGATTTCGCCCTGCTGCGCTCCAGACCGCCTGCGCAAAGCAAAGCCTACAGCCTCCACTGTGGCTCCCGTCCGCTCCGCTCTGAGCTCCTTAGAAATCATAGAGGGCATGCGTGAGGTGATTAAATTCAAAGCAGCAAAACATGCGGAAATGATCCAGGGTTTCCATGGATCATTAAAAATAATTACAATACATTTTTTGGTATTTTTTTATTAATTTTTAATGGGATTTTGGGGTAACAATCAACATATACCGAACCAAACCGAAAACCGTGACCATGAAACCGTGAACCGAACCGAACCGTGGATTTTGTGAACCGTTCCACCCCTAATCTGGACCTTGGGGCATGACCAGAGACAATGAGCGTTTCTCAATGTGTGTTCTTGTGCGTTCTCATGTACTCTGAAACATCATCAACCTCAGCCTTAGTACTGCTGCAATTCACAAGAACAGGCCGAGAACAGACAAAGTACCTGGATGTTGTTCTTGCCCCTCCCCATTTACCCAGCATGCATCAGAGCAGACTTGTCCGTTCTTGAGATTGACAGCTGTCCCAGCATGCACTGTGGCGGCAGCAGCTTTCAATGAAGCACTCACAGAATATGAAGTTAAAAGTTCTCTTTTCTGCTGCCATAGTTCAATAAAAGTAAGTTTTAAGATCATTTCAGGCGAGAACAACTTTAAAGCGTCACTATATGGCCCATTTACTGCAATAATAATTATTTTTTTTTAAGTTCAGAAGTTGAGGACCGCGGCAACCAGTGGAGCTCTGAGGGTAACGGCAGGCAGGGCTAACGTTAGCCCGTCTGCAGCAGCGTGTGTGAAGGACCGCCGGCTCTGATGGAGAGTTTTTTGTTTTATTTGGCAAAATGTTAATTTCATTTGTGTTTATCTGACTGTTTTCATTTATTAGAGGAATAATAATGAAATGAGAATGTACTTTTATCTAGAGATTATTAATAACAGGAGGTGAAATGCACCTGCAGACGAGCCGAGCGTGTGGTGACGTCACAAGTTCGCTTCTGCTCCAACTGACCCATATTAATGCAGCGTACTCCCGTTCTCCCCAAGTCCACACTTTCCTGTGTTTTTCCTCAAAAACATACTTGGTAAGGACATGAGTCCGTACTCAGGTTCTAGTAAATTAAGAAACAGCCAGTGTGTGAGGCTGCCTTTATGTGTTTTGCATTTAGGGTGCAATGAAGAGGACCCTGGTTTAAACTTAGACCTCCGTTTTGGGGCCAGGTGAGCTCTTTGTAGTAGTTTAAGTTGCAACGCCCAGGAGCGATTATGAATAGTAATTTTTCTGGCAGAGTTCCAAATACCTTACTCCACATTTCATCAGTCATCTTGATATTGAGCTCTCTCCCCCAGGCCTGGGCCAGAGTTGATAAGTGACGCTTGTGACATTTTAATGGTTTGTTGCACATACTGAGTGACACTTTACGAGATCCGAAGAACATTTTGTCAATGTAAGAAACCTCAGTGTCCCCGAGCAGAGTTGTTTATATTCTAAAAAAGACTGCACTGTACTTTTTAATTTCCATTGAGTAAAAATAGGTTGAATTTGTACAATTTTTGGCTACACTCACCACCTCTGATTAAAGGAATATAAAGTTGATGATGCCTGGGTGATATTCAACTCTGTTAACAAAAACAGTTGTTTATTATTCAACGGTGAAAACTAAGTTGCTGCAAATGATCATTGATGTAGATTTTGTCTCATTTAGAGGTATTTTAGTCGCCCATTTGACTGCAAAACATCCAACAAAAACCTTCAGCCTCTCAGGATCTTGTCCTCACGTTCCTTTGCCTACAGGGAGGATTTCTAATACCTCAGCAATCAATCAGTCAATAATGTGGTTCAATCAGACCTCCCTAAGGTCTGTAACGGCAGGTCACAGCTTTTTTTTCCAACCTAAATCTGTTCATCTTTGATCTCCAATTTAAACTCCATCACTTTGCGCCAAGTTTTCTAGGAATACAGGGCTAAATTGATTTTGTGTAAAGATGACCATCTTCAAATAATTTCTATATAGAAGCAAAAAAGAGAAAAGAAACAAAAATAAAGAATTTCATATGGTAAAAACCACCATTTAAGAACTTTACAAAAAAAGAAAAAACGGAGCTCCTACTTCTAACAGCATGGAGCCACAAGGTGGAGACAAAGTTCACAGAAGAGAGGCTTGATTAGTGTCTGCAGCTGTAAATTTACATTGCAATTTATATACAAAGCCGACATTAAAGAGCGTGTTGTTGCATCATCAACCTTAATGCACAACTCAAGCTGACTGGGCCGTGATTGCCAGTTGATTTTCCTCAAAGCTCTGGGTCGCCACTAAGAAGCATGCAAATAATCTGTCTGTAAAAGTAAACAAAAACTTACACAATCCCAGAACCACATTTGTCACAGACTGGCAGCTTCTCTGCGTTCCCCACAGAAGATCCGATCTTTGTAGTCGGAGCTTTCACACTCCTGAAGCCTGATGGTTTATCTGAGTCACCTACAAACAGAAAACATTTGATTTATGCATCCAGTACAGCTTCTATCATTATGCTGCTCCTAATTCAGCAGTGGGTGTTTTAAATGACATCTTTTCTATCCCGGTAAACTGGATCCCTACCCGTCTCTAGAATCTCCTGAAGGACCTTGAAGGAAGCCGATTGTCGGGGGGGCTCATCGGACTCTTGGTTCTCCTGGAGCATCTTGTAGACCTCAGAATCTGCTGGTACGGCCGGTCGCTTGCCTGCCGCTGGCTGCTCTGACGAAGCTCTGCAAAGATGTACGAGTTTTAGAGAGGAGCCGTCCAGAGAGTCAGAGCTCTTAATTCTACTGGTTGTACCTTATAATAGTGTTTAAGACTAAATCGATTGGATTATACTGCAATCTATTCAGTGATTGAATAATATAATCAGAGTGCACAGACTTTTTAAAAAAAAAAAGCTAAAAAACCCAATCAAATCAAAACTTTACAAAAATAAAGTATATATTTTGCAATTAAGACAAGATCCTCGAAGACGCTCTACTCAGATTGCCTTTAAGGGACAATTCTGAGCAATGGATTTAATTTTTAATCATTTTAGCCATTTAAAAACAAACTTTAAGATTTTTTTTAAGCTCAAACATTTTATTATTTTATTAATTATGTTACAGACTAAGAATCTCTTTAGATTCCTGGTTTAGCAAAATAATCTAAGGTGTGCAAGGCTGCAAGTCTTTAGGACGTTTTTTTTTTTATGTTGAAAAACTAACAGGCTGAGCAGAACATAAACAAAGTGGAATGGAACCACAAAATGGGGCTGCCCATTTTAATAGCAAACTCACCTTAAAAATAATTAAAAAAAAATGAATTAAAAGGTGCTAAAAGCTGGTTCAGTGACCACAGTGTTATTGTGATTGATCATCTAGCAAACCGGTCTGAACTGAACATAGGAGAGAATCTATGGAAGGTGTAACAGTATAAACCTACAGATGTTAACAAATAATCAGCTTACAATTGTCAATTAGATAAAAATTTGTTTAATCCGCTTAATATCCGCTTGATAAAAAGAATGTCTTTTAGTGTTGTAATGTTTTGCCATCGTCCACTAGAGGGCGCCATCTTTACTCTTAAGTGAAGCCTTATTTATTTAGAAGGTAAGTAATGCCAGTGCAAAGAAATGCTTTGATCAAGATTCTGGACTGGAATCATCAACACCGTGACAACGATGCAGGATGAACTTTACATGGTTCTGTTTGTAAACAGAAACACTGGATAAACTCGTATTTTAAGCTAAATGGCTGCATGGGGGAGCAGCGAAGCTTCTCTGCTGAGCTCTGAAGGTGAGGATGTGGGGATAGAAAAGTAGACCCAAAACTATTTGTAACATGATAGAAAAAGACATGCTAGCAATTAGCTAGCCCTTTGTTACACAATGACCAACATGGAGCAAAGATTCCTCTGAGAGCAACCAGAGCCAGTCGTTTAAAAGTGCTGCAGTTAAAGCAGTCTTTTTTATTTAAATTATTTTTATTGTATTAACATGTTTTCTGTACCGTATATACAAGTGTAATATTGTAAGAAAACATTTTATACAGTAAGTATTTAATACAGCTGAAATTAAAAAATCTTTTTGATAAGGATATTTTGAATTGTTTGTTAGTTCATGCATCTTTACAAGCGTTTGCCATGCTGGCTTACATTCATTCATTAATACCGTATTTTCACGACTATAAGGCGCAAATAAACGACTTTTTTTTCCCTCAACATGGAAATCGAGCAGCCGCGGGAGGTCTGACAAAGGAACTTGAACCGCTCGACATCGGTGTGAACC